CAGTAAGTGCCCACAGCCAGGGGCATCCCTGCCCAGCTTCTACATTCATTGGGCTTATTCTGGTTCCTTCTTGCCCAGAGCTGTGTTTCAGCAGCGCAGCTGGGCATCTCTTATCAGCAGAGGTTCCCTCCATCTTCCCCTGCTCAGACACACAACTCCCCACAGTGTCTGGGAAGTGAAAAATCTTGTGGCTGGGGCCTAGGCTACCTCCCAACCCTACTAGCCCCAGAGCTCCCTGCTTGCTGTTTGAGTGGAACTAGCCTGGGGGTGTTTACACTTCCAGGGGACCAAACCTCAGTATCCTCCCAGGAGGAACACTGTTCTGCCCTAACTCTTCTTTGTATCACTCTACATTCATCCTGAGGTGCTATTTTGTCTTATTTGTGGAGGAAATCTGGAGAGCTAGGAATTTTTTGACCTACGGCACCATGTTCCCAGAATCCTCTCCTTTCCCTGGTCTTGAAGGGAGCCAGAGAGACTAGAGGCAGAGATGCAGAGAGATTCCAGGAATGGGGGACAGCTATTAAAAATGTCAGAGGAGGATATGGACTGTCTTGTGTAAAGAACAGCGAGGAGGACAGTGTCCCTTGATTGCAGAGTGTGTGTGTGTGAGAGTGTGTGTGTGTGTGTGTGTGTGTGTGTGTTGTGTGTGTGTGTGTGTAATTAGAGTGTAAGAAGACTGGAAAAATTGGGGTGGTTGTGGTTATGAAAGTCTTTGAATGAAAAATAGAGGATTTTATATTTAACTCTAGAGGTTAAATATAACCTCTATGGTTGAGTAGGTGTGTTAGGGACATAATCAGACCTGCTCTCTAAAATCATCTTTAAAATTTTGGCAGTTGAGTGGAGAATAGACTGGAGTGGAAAGAAACCTGTAGCAGGGACCAGCAGGTTATTGCAGTACTCTGAGGTATGAAATAATGAAAGCTTGCACCAGAGTGATGGTAGTGTCAGAAGAGGGGAGGAGCACGTACCCAAAAGACGTTATGGAGGTAAAATCAACAGGCCTTAGCAACAGATTGGACATAGGGGGTGAGAGAGAGTGAGGAGTTAAAGATGACAACTAGGTTTGAGCTTGGGTACCTGGGAGGTTGGTGGTACCCTTGACAGGAATAGGGAAGTGAAGAGAAGGGGAGGGTTTGGGGGGAAAGATAAGGAGTTCTCTTTTAGACAAGTTGATTTTAAGGGGTCTAGAAGACATCCAGTTTAAGATTCCATGTTCTTGAATTTATTTTTTCCCCATTAAATATGCTTTTTGTTTACATTAATCAAAGTAAGGCCCTCTTGGACCTTACATTCTCACTTCCCAAATATTCCTTCCCTTCTCCCTTCCCTGCAGTCATCCCTGGCTTGTAGCAAAGCAGTATAGTTGAGCTAAACAGATCCATACATTGATGGGCCTGAATTTCCATCCACCCCATTTGTTAGTTATTTTATACAGGTTCCCGATTCTTGCATTCAAGATATAAATCCCTTATATTTGAGGTAATGTTTAGTTGTTTTACATATACCAAAGGGAAAGAATCAGTTGGATAAGAAAGGCTTTGAATAGAAATTGAGATACAGAAAGAGCAGTGTTTGGATTTCTATGCATTCTTAAGTAACAGGTTTCTCAGCGCATTCATTCTCACCAATACCCTGAACTTAATGTGACCTATCTATCAGCTTGTTTATCAGCCCACCCATAGCACTTCAGCAACCCAACAGAAAATATGTCCTTGCAAATTAATGTTTTTCATTACTTCTGGAGGTAATTTGCCTGCTAACAGGATTAGATTTTGGTTACTGTAAAATCTTTTATGGTACTTGACACACAAGAGAGTTGAGAACCTAATATCACAACCAAATTGTTTGACAAAAATATAACCTTGGGTATGTCAAAGCCTGGAAGAAAGTAATCTAACATGTACGCCATAACCAAAAACACTATTAAATAGCCAAACATGCTTCCTTTACTACTTTTGCATAATTGAAATGCAATTATTTTAAAAATAAAAGTTTTATGTATTTCAAAGAAATGTTCCATAATCTATAGCTTTCATATTGCTTTTAGTCAATGACACAGCAATACAGATAGAGAAGGAATAGTGCTCAAAGTAAAAAGAAGCTTTTTTTCTCATGCACTTGTTAAAAATCTGAAATTTGTCCTAAGGAATGGAATGAATCATTTTGTTGAGGTTTAGGGGTTCAGGGGTGCTGGGACCCCAAAATAATGACACATGGGTCCTACCCGAAAGAATTCTACACAAGCCTTCTTTCAGCCAAAGACAAGGTTTATTAAAGATCCGCCGTAATTAGCCAGACTCTTAAGGAATCTGAGCACCTGTGAGCTATTAGCCAGATGGTAAAAATCTGAGCAGTGACTGGAGTATAAGAATTTGAGCACCTTAATGGAGACAAGATAGACCTTATATACAGAAAGGATCTAGGAAGGGAGGGGTCTGGGAGTGGCCAAGTAGTTTGGAGTGACTAGGATGTCTGGGACCTAGGGAGAATGGAGCCTAGCTGAGGCTAAGGGTGGGAAATGGCCAGGGGCCGGAGGGCTAGGCTAGGTTAAGGGTAACAAAGAATCGGAAGATTGGGCTGTAGCCACAATGAAAGGTCAGTTGATGCGATTATAGCCCCAGGCAAACGTCAGAGATTTGGCCATGTGGGAAAGTCCAGGGTTTTTCCTTTTTGGTGTCTAGCTCCCATCCTCATCAATTTAACATCAGGGTCCATGAACAGAATTTGTTTTATGAAAAATTTGTTTAGGGAGACTGGATCTTTGATTTCATTGTTATGGGGAGCTCCCTCCTGTTGAGGGATTTCTTTATAACTGCAGTTCTGTATCTTCTGTGTGATTACAATCTTACAGACTTGCCTATAGTAGTGAAAAGTGAAGTGACCTGCCAGGGTCACATAGTCAGCAAATGTCTGAGGCAGGACTTGAACTCAGATCTTCCTAACTCCAAGGTCAGTTCTATCCCCTGTACCAGAATATTGAGAGGAAAACGACTTAGTTCTTTTTTTAAAGGATTCCCTCTAGTAAATTTTTAAAAAATAGAAACTCATTAGTTAATTGATCAGTTTAAGTTAAATAAAATTTCTTCCTAAATAAGCATAAATTGGGAACCTTTTTTTTTTTAACAGGTATGCCCTAAAAGGAAATGTCAGGAGTTATAGAAGAAAGATTATAACACCTAAAAGGAAAAAAAATTCTCTATTTTTTCTCCTAGCCGTGACCTAGCTATTTAAAAGGTGTTTGGATTTTAGTTCTGTGTGGTACTTTAGGGAGAAGAACATAGTCAAACAAAAAGCTGCAAATGAAAACGTAGGCTGTCTGTCACTTGTATTTCTTCCT